AGGAACGGCGAGGGTTCGAATGTTCACGGGTTTGAAACCTCCGAGAAGATCGCCAGCCTCACTTTGCTGGGACAAGTTGATTGCGACTAGCTTATGACCCAGAGTGTCAGCCAACTGCTGGATGACTGTAGTCTTTCCAATACCAGTCTCACCAACGAGCAAGATCGGCTCGCCGAGGTTTACTGCAACCGCGGCCTGCTCCAGCAACTTCTTTGCGTGTGTTGTGCTCGCAAACGGTCTCTTGGCAAGAGCAGCCTTATTCACGCGATCCTTGCGTTTCCGCAGGGTCGTCCGGCCGATCTTGAACTGGCTGTCGTTCTGCTCCAGCTGCGGTATATAGGCCTCAAGGAAATGTTCGACCCGCTCCTTGGCCATGTGCATCTCCTCAGCAATGGCGAAAATAATATGCCTCTTGGCTTGGACGTCCGGAATACCCGCTACAAAACAGTCGATCGCTTCCATGAACATCCAATCACGGGTGGTTTCGCTGATCGGCTCGTCTCCAGTGCTGCAACCCGCGGCAGAAAGTGTTGCTCTGAGGCGTCTACACCATCGTAGAAGGTCTCGCAAACTAGCTTGACGATCGGCCATACCACGACTTGGTGAATAGGGCAAATTTCCGGTGGGCTTGGATAATCGGCGGTACACAGCGAGTATTCCAGGGGCAAACTTGTGAAGGATTGGGTGTGATCCAGTGATGATTTCCTGCAGCTCGGCTTCAGTGGGAGTCTGTACAGAAACAAGCTGCCAGAAGCGCAATCCGAGAAGGTTAGGGAGCGTCTCCCGACCGTGCATGCCGCGGGAAGTTCTGACAGTGCCGAAGAGTCTGAAGCCACTTGCAGCCTTGATCCGCTCTCCTCTGCTGGGGATAAGAAGCTCACCACGCTCGATTAGGGGTAGCAGCGTGCTGATGACTTCGTTCGGTGCTCTATCCAAATCCTCAATGACAACCCATCTTCCTTCTCTTACCGCAGTCGTCAGCACACCAGGTCTCCAAGAAAAGGTTCCAGGTTTCGAGTCTGTCGAGTAGAGGCCAATGAGCATCTTGGCGTCTGTCTGTTCGTTGATATGCAGTGTCACCATCTCTGAATGCTTGCCGAACTCCTTGGCAACTTCGTGGACCAAAGACGTTTTGCCGGAGCCTGGTAGACCATGCATCAAAATAGGACTGGCATTCTTCAGGAGACCGGCCAGAGTCTCCAGATTGCGCGTCGTGGTGGATGTCAGCACGAGGGAGGAGTTCTTCTTGACCGGGCCGGATGGTCGCGGCAGTATTGCGTTGCCATAGCACGCAACAAATGGGGTCAGACTTTGGGGTGGAATTGGTTGGATTTGATTGCTCTCGGGGGCATCGCTAAGCTCGCCGCGGATTGCTGCGGTCTTCTTGATACGCGCATCCTCATATAGACTCAAGAACCCAAAGTCTACCTCACGGCCGTCAAATTCAGCGACAATGGCATCTTTCGTTCCGACATGCTCGTCAATGAGGGCCTCCAGTTTTGAATCGGCTGCGCGGAGGATCTGTGTAAAAATCCGAATCGCCATATACCGGACGGCGCGGCTTTCATGTGTGAAGAGTCCTTGCATATGAGTGGGTGAGACAAGGACAGCGTAAGTCCTCTGGTCAAAACAGACCAGTCTCCATGCTGCAAGGAGTAGTTGAAGAAGGTCGGAACTCTGAGTAGAAGTGAAAGAAGTGAGGTCGGGAAATCGGATACTCAGGGTCTGCGGCCCTGGCGACGGTGATTGGGTCAGATCTTCGCTCATGACCTGTTGCAGAAATTCCGATAAATAAGGAGCGAGTGGCAGAATCCTTGCGATGGCTGCAAGGACGGCTCCATTTCTTGTTTGGTTCCTGGGGTTGAGAAGCCATCGTGCGCAGATGTCGGGAAACACATTCTCGAAGTGAATGAAAATTCGATCTGTAAGTTGGGGGATGAGAGCCGCTTCCGCAATGGCGTCGAGGAGGTTTGGGGCCGTGTGATTTCTAATGACCTCAATAATTTCGGTAGGTAGATGCTCAAGAACGATCGCGTCGTTCAGTAGAGCGCTCCTCTGTGACGAGACGTCAATCGTGGCCATGGTTGCGGCTCAATCGAGAGATATGTCGTCTGCGATGATGTTCATGGACGGCTGGTTTGTATGTACTTTTTTTTTTTCTTGCATCTCGCCCAGAGGACCCTTCGCCCCAGCCAACAGCAACTTTTTTTTTCGGTAGCGACAGGGATCCCGGTCTGTACGTTCCTAGGTAGCGGCAGCTTCTTGGACGGAAGGCGGCGGTATAAAGGGCCGAACCAATCAAAGTGGAGACAACTCTGCACCACTCGCGCGACCGGGCATTCGAGCTCGAAAAACTTCAAGCAGTGTGAATCCCGAATTTGGAATCTCCCTGCGTGCTGCGAAGGCCGAACCGACGACCAATTCCACTCCTCCCGCCCACCTGCCACGCCCCTAACGAAGGTTCAATTGCGCTCCTGCAAAAAACCCTTCAACCACAAACGCACTCGCAATGGCGCTCTCTTGCAGATACGCAGCTCAGAGCTGCGCCCGCCAGCTCCGTTCCAGCAGCTCTCTGCGGGCTTCGACGACCCTCTTCCAGACCCGAACCCCCGCGACCGCTAGGAGGCACAACTCGACCGAGGCTGCAGCACCCACGAACCCCAAGATCGCCGCTATCGTCGACCAGATCAGTACCCTTACCCTTCTGGAAACTGCCGACCTCGTCTCAAGCTTGAAGGTGAGTTAAATACGGATATGGTCGGGGTGGATAGTGGAACCCAATTATGTCGCCAGATGCAGAATGCGCTGATGTTGACGATGTACACTATTTCAGACCAAGCTCAACATCCCCGATCTTCCCGTTGGTGGTTTTGCTGCCGCCGCTGCCCCCGCAGCAGCCGCCCCCGCTGAGGCCGCCGAGGAGGCTGCGCCAGCCGCCGCCGAGAAGAGCGTCTTCAACCTCAAGCTGACTGCTTTTGACGCTGGTGCCAAGGCCAAGGTTATTAAGGAGGTCAAGAATTTGCTCGGTCTCAGCTTGGTGGACAGCAAGAAGTTCGTCGAGAGCGCGCCGAAGCTGATGAAGGAGAACGTAGCCAAGGACGAGGCTGAGAAAATTATCGCCACGATGAAGGAGCTTGGTGCCACCGTCGTTATGGAGTAAATTCTGCCCGTTTGCATTGGCTGGCTAGGCTCAGTGGACGAGAGCGACGACTACTCTCCTGGGAGGAGATGATGAAAACTCGGGACATTTTTGACGTCGAGATCTGGATCGGATTGGTCTAGATGTGATGTGTATGAGTGTATAAACACCCATGTAACAATATTATAAAGACATACACCACCATTGACTGACGACTTTGAGACCTCTCTTTTTGTGACTGGCTACTGCCTCATGCGCCGCAGAGCCTACAACTACAGGAACCATGGAAGCAACCATACCCGATCAGTGGTATACATGGCTCTACGAGAACCGACCGTTTAACGCCTATTTTGACTCAATCACCCAAACGCCCCGATATGCCTATTGTGAGTTCGAGTAAGCAGCAACTAATATTTCTTGTTGCCATTCGTGATACGGGTGCTGGCGGGACCAGCGGGCGGACGAGGGGCGCACTGATGTTCCATGGACTGGCGCCACTCGGTAAACTCCTCCTGTCCAAGGATGTGGTCATCGTCACCCATGTCGCTTGTCTCCTCCCAGATCTTGTCGGTCTCAGCGTTGTCGTGCGATGGGATGGCCCAGATACTCTCGCGCAGTCTTTTGTGGCGTTCGCGGTCCTCCTCAATGCGCTGCTCGATCTGTCGCTTCTCCAGCCGTGGCGCCCTGCCGTTAGTCGGAATCGCGTGGCTCGGGGGCGCGTCGCCCATATCGACGTCGCCGTTGACAGGCGATGACAAGCCAGCATCGCGGGCGCTTGTCTCTCGTTCTTTCAAGACCTCTTCAATCTCAGTCACCGTCTGAGCTTGCAAAAATTGCTTTTGTTGAAGTCCTTGGAGAACCTTGGAAGCGTCAGCATTTGATTCTTGTACTGCGAGAGCTGAGTTAGCTTGCCCTTCTGACGACCTTGACGTTGGCAGCACCGGATCCATCATCCGGAGCGACTGCATCGACGATCCGAATAATGTCGCGTTGCATCATGCGAACGTAGTCCACGTGGTTGTCTTTCTGCGCCATCTCCAGGAAATGCTCGATGAAGTACATGATGTTGGCTCTGGTATTCATATTGTTCTGTATGTAGGTCAGCTTTCTCATTCTTTTCACGCAAAAGAAGGGACTTACGCCACGTTCCAACTGTTCGACAATGCATGAATGCAAGTCTTCGTCCATGTCCTTGTACTTGAGCGCATACTGGGCAGCCTTCTGAGCAGAAGTGACGGATGCGTTCAGGTGCTGCAGCTGAGATGTAAAGCGCATCCGAACCTCGAAAGGGTCCGCCATGTCTGTCGCAGTTGGGGATACTCCCCAGTATATATGCTCGTCTGATCCGTCTGGTAATAAAAGCGACGAGTGCTCCTCCTGATGATGTTGAAAGCCGTTGGCTGGATGAGCTTCGGTTAGTTGAATCTGATTAAGTTGCTGCCCAGAGCGCTCTCTTACTTTGGTTACCAGAAAGTGTCATTCTCACAGGGACGGCCTGTGCATTTCTCATTTTTCCTACCCCAGCACTGTGAGAAGCTCGAGTCGGGGACGCTAAGCGAGATTTGGGTTAGCGTGTAGCTGCCCGGAAAATGATCGCTCTCAGTGGATGATATGGACGATATCGGTAACAGTGGAGTCTTGTAAAAGGAGGTGAACAATATTTCAATAATGTTATTTACTTGGGCTCTGCTGGGCTAAAATAGCTTGACACGTTGCGATTGAAAACGAAGTTTTGGTCCAAACCTAGTTGTGCCCTTGATCTGATTCCTAGAGACAAGCAGTGTGTGAACGTTTCAATTGCTTTAACTGCAAACCACGACCTCACTTACACCCGCGATTTCAACTCACACTTTGTCTCATCATGCCCTCTCACGCACTCACTATCTACGATGGCGGTGCCTCGTCGTCAGACGAGCTCACCATGACCGTCCTTGGCTGTGGTAAGTAAGCTCGTGTCTCTGATTCTCATGATATCTCCGCATTTTTTCAAGACACCTCAACCAGGTCCAACCGACTTTTTTCAACGAGAAAAACACGACATTCAAAATAGAATAGATGGTTAACACGTGAACAGGCACCATGGGCATTGCCATACTGAATGGTATTCTCACTTCTCTACAGGAGATGCAAGCTCCCAAGCCCTTGCAAACTCCCTCAGGGTCAGGGACTTCCACTCCTCTCCAAGACGAAGTCCCCCGCCGACTACCATCCCGCTTCATCGCCTGCGTTCGCCGTCCTGAAAGTGCAAAGAAGGTCAAGAAGGCTCTTTGGGAACACTCGTCCGTTCTCAAGGTTGTCCAGAACGAGAACATCCCCTCTGTCCTCAAGTCCGACGTCATCCTCCTTGCCTGCAAGCCGTACATGGTCAAGGATATCCTGAGCGAGCCTGGCATGGCCCGCGCCCTGCATGGCAAGCTCCTTGTCTCCGTCTGCGCGGGCGTCACCGAGGCCGACCTCGAGGAGATCCTCCACGGTGTAGCGCCCACCAAGAGCCCAGAGGAAGACGGCCGCTGCCGCGTAATCCGAGCTGTTCCCAACACCGCCTCGCTGATCCGCGAGAGTATGACCGTCATCGGCACCTCGACCTGGCCTCTTTCCCCCGAGATCTCCAGCCTGGTTACTTGGATCTTCAGGCGCATTGGTGATGTGGTTTATCTCCCTCCTAATAACATGGACGCCAGCACCGCGCTGTGCGGCTCTTGCCCCGCCTACTTCGCGCTCATGCTTGAGTCTGCCATTGACGGAGCTGTTGCCATGGGTCTCCCCCGTGCCGAGGCCACGAGAATGGCTGCCCAAACGATGAGGGGAACTGCCGGCATGGTCCTCAATGGCGACCACCCTGCGCTTCTCCGGGACAAGGTGACCACTCCAGGCGGCTGCACGATCGGAGGCTTGATGGTGCTGGAGGAGGGTCGTGTTAGAGGCACAATTGCACGTGCGGTGCGTGAATCAACTGTCGTCGCTAGCCAGCTCGGCCAGGGCGTACAGGGCGTCAACGGCACTCGTTTCCCTGCGCAATCCGGGTTCCCCAGCTTTTAAATCGCTATCACGCCAGACATGAGTTTGGATAGGTCATGAGCAGGCAGCAACTTCACTGCCAAGGATGCTCAATTTTGATTAATGACAAAGTGGCCGTAAACTGCCTATGAAAAACTTGGTATCAACCGGGCAGAGGCCTAAGTAGAATGACAGAATAGACTCGATGACAACCTTGAACTCCTGGACCCAATCCCTGCCCTTTTGCATCGTCGTAAGTTGTGGAGAGCTCAGACGTCTTCGATCCTGACCTTCTTGTTGGAACCCTGCTCCTCGGCATCATCCACTGACTTTCTCTTACTGCTGGACTCGTCCGCCTCGGTGGCACCAAGTCTGTGTTTCTCCCAACGTGCGTGCCAATCCAGGAGTCTAGCATACTCAAGCTCCACGCTCCTGAGGGCTTCGTTCAACTTTTCACTTCGCTCGCTGATGTCCAGCTGACCAAGAACATCGCCGTTCTGACGATAGATGCGTTGCTTGACGAAGAGCTTCCACAGATGATATTGGTGCCTGTCCTCCTTTGTAGCTAATGGCTTCTTCTCCTCGCCGAATCCTGCCCTGACCGAAGCAGGCAACTGAGACATAGTATGCATCTCAATCAGTCTCTTGAACTGACGTTCCACGATCTTTGTCTTTTGGCGGAGGCTCTGACGCAACTCGTAATCCACCAGGTCCCGGGGGACCGTACCGGTAGGAGGCCTCGGCAGAGAGATATCGGTGTTGATCTTGACTTTGCTGAACTCGGGCAGAGAGCGGAGGAACGTCAAGTCAGAGAGATCTCTCATGTCATCGAACGCCTCATTAGGGTCCTCGACTGTCAGCTCAAAGGTCTGGGGATCTTGAAGGTATGTGTCAAAGATCGTTTTGTAGAGACGGGCACCGATGCCTTTACCCTGGAAAGGCGGCAGGATAAGGAACTGAGAAAGTCTTGAGCGGCAGGGCAACTGATCTAGGAGGTTGAACTCCTCCTTTGGGAGGTCCCAATCGCTCGAGGGTGGCGTCGGAGGACGGAAGCTGAAGAATTTGTAGACAGTCGAGTAGCCGACGAAAGTGTAGGATGGTGTCTCTGAGGCTTCGGCAGATGGCTGCCTGCGATACAGAAAGTAGACGGTCCACCGGTTGGCGTCTTCGGGTGCTTTCCAAGGATCCTCCTCATTCTCCGGATCGCGCGCGATGTACGATCCTCCTTCGATGAACAGCGGAACGAGGGCCTCGACGCGGTTCACGATCTGGCGCACGGCGGTGTCCGCCAAGCTACCCTTCCATACTTCGTATGTTCCATCATCGCCTTCGAAGCTCGAGTGAAGGGAACCGGGAGGGGTGAAGTTGTCAGGCTGACTTTGCGCGCGGCTCTCGAATTCCTTGGCTGACTGGAACGCGACTTCGGGAGGTTAGCTATGGTCCTGTTGCGACGGAGGCGACACTCACCACCAGGCAGATGCTGCCTCAGAATGTCGTCAATATCTGCGGCTTCAGTCTCACCGACAGAATTGAATTTCTTGCCCCACGACACCTTAACATGAGGGCGCATATCGTAGGTCAGGTATCGCAGGTTGATCTTGAGATCCTTGTAACCAAATATGGTCTCCTCATCGCCGAAAATGGAGTATGTGAACTTTGGGTTGAATGAAGCGATCGACTTCGTTGCGCCGGCAGCAGGAGCAATCAGGCTGATGTTCACGGCCTCAGTGGCGTTCGCCGACCCTGCAGCAATAATCAGTGACCTGCAACGATGGATTGAAGCGACCTGACTGGAACGTACACTCATCAATCTCAGCCATGGTGTCGACAGCTGGAGGCAGGGTTGGATGTGAATATTGCGATTATTTCACAACCGATGGAGCCAACAGAGTTGGTGAGATGTGCTGGCTAAGACGGATCGCTTTTCTGTGCAAATCGCACCAAAAGTCGAGGTTTGGGAGACAATCAAGGTTGAATGGGAGCTAAAGTACGGATCAGGTCGAGCTTTGCGACAAACTGTGGCGACGCGCAGTCAAAGCGACTCGCGACAAGACGCGACAGGGACTAAATGGATTTGCATTTAGAGGGGTTTAATATGGGTCCCCCTCTAGTGGCAGCGTCAAGCCTGAAATAGCTCCCCGGGCCAGGTTCCGTCCAGTTCGCAGAGCAAGCCGCAGGAGGGGAGGCCGGGGACCCACCAGCATTACGACATGTGGTGACAAGGCAGGAGCAGCAGCCCCCTGGCCGTCTGAAGGGGGCAGCAGTTAGGTAGGGCCTTAGCTCCGAAACCAACCTCGACGATTATCCCTTTGAACGAGCTGAGAGACGACGAGCAGAAAAAAGGTCTCAAGTTTGCGAATTCCCTCCTCCTCTTTCCATTGAGCAGCAGGCAAGCAGGGTGGCCGTTGATTACGGTACCAGACATGTTGGCGTAACCCGACGTTCTCGATCTCGGCAACCTCTCCCCACGTCTTTTATCTCGCGCCAAAGTAATTGACCGACGCATTTTACGGCACCCAAAAATGGGAGGGCTACTGTTATTGCTCATGCTGAGCGTAAGTTGACACCTAGCTGTCTTACTTAGCTTCGGCTGGACTTCGACCGCCAAACTACGAACTGATGACCAAGCTAACGATTGCGATCACAGACGGTGATGGCCCTGGCGTACGTAGCTCCTCGATGAGGCCGATGTCTCCAACCGAACACACCAGCACACGACCCGAACGATCCGTACTGATATCATACGCCAATAGGTCCTTTTTCGCCGGCTCACTGCCCCTCGCTATCTCCCTAACACAGTCGCAACTTCGATTCATATCAAGCGTTGGTGTTGGTATTCTGGTTGGGACGTCGATGATTGTGATCATACCCGAGGGCATTGAAGCTGTTTCGACCACCGGGGGACACCACCATGATAAGAGAAGCATAGCGACCGCGGTTGGCAGGCAACATAGCTTGGATGTACGCTGGACGACAGGCGACGACGTCCCGCGACTAGCGACGATCGATCCCACGAGACGGAGAGGGGAGTCTTCCTCGGTCGGGCACGTTGATGTTGCTGGCATGCGGTTGCGCGGTCGAGAGGAGCCTCCTGCGCCCGAACATGGCCACGACGGAACTGCCCCGGTTCATGCTCCGGGCGCCGAGCCAAAGCACAGCGAGGAGAAACAAGCCGAAGTGCCGACCTTCTACATCGGCCTGTCCATGATCCTCGGTTTTGTGCTCATGTTCCTCATCGACAGATTGCCTCGCCACGCCACAGACCGTATGGGAAACGAACCGCAGATGCGGCATGTCAGCTTGGATAACCTCGGGGGCGCATCCAGCAGTGTTGATGATGAGTCGGAGGGATTCTTGGGGGCTCTGGCACCCCCGCCGAAGCAATCTCGAAGTCTTGCAACCACCATCGGCCTAGTGATCCATGCAGCAGCCGATGGTATAGCAATGGGAGCTTCGACGTCGACGTCGAACACGAAGCTGGGCCTGATCATTTTCGTCGCCATTATGGTTCACAAAGCGCCTGCGGCATTTGGGTTGACTTCAGTCCTCCTTAAGCAGGGTCTGACCAAGCGTGCGGCGCGAGGTCACTTGATCGTCTTCAGCCTTGCTGCTCCATTCGGTGCCTTGAGCACGTGGGCAATTATACAGATCCTAGGCGGCGGCAACCTCGACGGAGAGTCCGGCCAGTGGTGGACTGGTATGCTTCTGCTATTCTCGGCGGGGACCTTCCTGTAAGTCGGACGCCATCCCTGAATCAGACTTCCACGACTGACACATACAAGCTTCGTTGCGATGCACGCCATGCAGGAAGACAGCAGCTCCCCCAAGCACGAGCACGGCGGAATGAACGGATACTCAGAAGGAAGCCAACGGGTGCAACACCGGCCGCAAATGCGAGATACCTTTGCAACCGTCGCCGGCATGCTCTTACCTCTCCTTACTCAGTTTGGGCATCACCACTAGCGTTGCCACGTGGGATAGCATTCGGCCCATCCGTGTGAACGAATCGAGGCTTCGATGTACGACAAGACTCTCTTGACTCATGATGATGATGACTGTATAGACTGTAGTTATTCGGCGTAGGGGCCTGCCAGATTCAAAAGGATATATCTATTTTCTTTTTCTTTTTTTTAAGATTCTGTACTAGATCGATCGATGCCGTCCGCAACTGTATAAAAGTCGAAAAGTTTCTTGATTGACATTTCCAGAAACACGATTCGCCCGCCAAGGAGCCCGTCGATGCACCGGCAACATGTTGTGAGGGAAACTACTGCAGAGCAGGCGCATGGAGAGCTAGGGAAACCCTTGTCCACCAAGCGCCCGAGTTGAGCTAGGTTTCCGTCTCGAGTGTTTCAAGTTCGTACGACGACCTTGGCACCAGCGAGGCGCTCGTGGCGCTTCGTTACAACGGCGCAAGGAAACATGGACAATCGAGAAGGAGGGGTAATGGGGATTAAAGGCGTTTGGCTCATGAGCGCGTGTGTGTGCGCGTTGCGCTCATCAGCAGACTAGTCATTACCTTGAGGCTCAAAGGACAGAGAGAGCGGCCTGCGGCGCTTTGGAAGCTGCGATAGTGCTCTGAGTCTGAGACACAGTCCCATCTAGAACACAATGTAGCATAAAGCGGAATGTGGAAGCTTTTTAATCAACTTCTCACACGGGAATGTCAGTCCAGAGATAGATTGACGATTTTCATGCCTCTGCGACAGCCGAGGGGGATCTGCAAGTCAAGAAGCTGAAAATGGCACTTGTACAGGGGGCTGGTTGGAGCTTATTGAGAGGGCGTGAGAAATGGAAAGAGAGATTGAGAGGTATGCAGGTGTCGCAATTCTTCAGACACAGATCATCCCATTAGGGACCGACATTGGCATTGTCAACCTCCTCAAATATTGGACAGTCCGAAATGTTCTTTCCTTCGAAAAGGAAAAAAAAAGGCCTATTTGTTGTCTCTGCAAATGAGAAGGATTCCCCGGGGTTCGGTTTTGGAAGGGTCGGCTTAGACAGGTCTGAGCGGCGCAGGCTCGAGAATGGCACCCCTGTGTTGTATCACTGGGGCAGATCTGAGGCATCCAAGCCGGTAGTGTCGCAAGTTTGCAAAGCCCTTTAAGGGGAGCTGGGAAGACACACGCGAAGGAGCTGAGCTGAGCGGGATAGACCGTGGACCATTTCTTTTTATGGCATGCTTGCTGGGTTTCTCTCTGGAGATGATGAGTTGAGACTATTGCAGTGGCTTGCTTGAGGATAGTGGTATGCAACTGCTCATCCCACCCATCTTAATTTCGTATCTTTGAAAGACGATGATGAGTAACCAACGCATACCAAAATACATACGAACTCGAGGGATTTGGGGGTAAAACACTGGCGGTAGGTGCTGCGGGCTTGTCCGAGGCCGGTAGCTAAACTTAGTGTGCCGGATCCGCGATACGACGGTCATGACTTGTTTCGTTCGTGCCCGTCGATGGTTGACCTCAAGGGCGGTTGGGTTACCACGACGGTCCGAAGAAGCCATTGTTGTTGTTTTGTTGACGCCCCTGTGCTGGGTGGTCGAGGCACTTGTGGCGGGCTAGTCGGCAACGATGGTTTTCTAGAGGCAGTGATGGACTCGTCGTCTGATGATGCGCGTATGGTGTGGGAGGTTCGTCTTTCCTCGCCGTTGTGGAAGCGTACCTAACCTTTACGAAGATCTGATCATCGGCTGGTAAATGCGCCCAGCCCGGAGTTGCGTGCAAGCCACATGCCGACGAAAGTCTTTTGAAGGTTACAACATCAAGTCACGAAACTCTCGTCAAGGTGTGACGACGACAGTCTAATGAGGAAGGTTGTAGGAGAAGTTGTACAGTAAGGTTGGGTATAGCAAGCTCTGCTGGGGTTAGAAACAATTGGTTCGTTGACTGACAGGTGAGTTCTGCTGACAGAACCACACGAAGGAGATAGAGTGCGAGACAATGCAGAACGAGCGCTGGATCCAGTGACGCCGGGGGCGCGGCTGTGGCTCTGTCAGGGCCGGGGTATATGTACCCGGGATTCCATTATGGCGCAAGTGTCGTGATGCCGCCGTTTGGCGTCGAGGGAGGCGAGCCGAAGCGGAGAGCGTCCTCTTTACTATTGCGCCATCGTGGTGATGTCTCCATGGGCAAGCCGCACAAAGTATTGCTGAAGGTTGCCCTGGTCGGTTCCAACTTCTTGTTCGGCGGCGGCGGCGGCGGTGGAGGCGGCTCGGGGCACTGAGCCAAATTCGCACTCGGCAGCCCCCAAAAAGTTGAAAGAACTGATCGACGTCACGAATACCCACTGCGGTGCAGACGATGGATACCTAGGGTGTGATCTTCTCCCCAGTACTGGGCTCTAGTACGAGGCACCTCTAGTACGGGGTCATTCTCTGACGTAACAGAAGCCCGGAAAAACCTCGTTTTCATACGCTTAACCTTTCTAAGCACTAATTTATTACTAGTAGTAAGGGGACCCTAGTATAACGCCTTAGTAGTAGAGTTATATAAAAAATAACTATATACCCCCTTCTCTAGTATATAGTACTTAAGTTTTCTACTATTTGAGGCCTTTTTACTATATAAAAAGCTTAATTTATAGAGAGAGTGCTTTTTAACCCTCTCTATAAACTAAACTTTAGTATATAGTATAGCTAAAAGTAGTTAGACCCCTTTAATAGCAGAATTAACGCCTCTATTATACTTTTTAATAATAATAAAGCTATAAATAAAGCTATAGATATAGTAATTTAGAGTACTTATATTACTTTAACTTAATAAAAGTAGTTATTAACTAATTATTAAAGAACTATTAATAAGGGTAGCCCTATAGAGGTATATAAGTATATAAGAGGATTACTAATAAGGTTACTTTACTACTTTTTTAAGATATTCTATATAAATAAATAGTAATTTAATATACTTATTTAATAACTAAATAAGTATACTAGCTTATAGGATTCTTAATATATAACTATAAAATAAAAACTATTAATATTCCTATATATCTTAAGCTAAGGCTGCTCTTAGTATATTACTACCTATATATTTAAAGTTAGCTAAAATATAGTATTATAGTATATTAACTTCTTACTTACTACTTATATTAAACTATATAAAGCGTATATTTAACCTATAGTAGAAAGAGAGATCTTATTAGAGATTAAAGGGGACCCTAAGTAAGAAGCTTTTTTAGGCTATATTAGCGCTATTAATAGTATTTTAATCTATACTTTTATATTAGAAAAAAAATAGAAGATTTAGCGTTATTAGAAAGGCTTTATAAGCTAGAATATCTTTATAGTAATAAGGTTTAATAATAGCTTTTTATATATACTTACTAATATAGAGAGGTTAATTTATAACTTAAAGCTAGTAATATTTATATATAACTAAGGGTTTATAGTACTAGAAAGCAGATATTTCCTTATTAATACTAGCTTTAGAGGTAAAAATAGCCTTAATATTCTATACTATAAGACTTATTACTATTTATAAAATTAAAAGGATATAAACTTACTATTAGTTACTACCTAAGAGCTATATAATCTTAAGTATAGCTAGCTTTAAGTAATTATAGAGTAAGCTTTTAGTTATCTTAAGAAGAAGTTCTATATTATTTAAAGTTTAGTATTAGAATATAGCTTAAAGTAACAGATTACTATAATATATATAGTAATAGCGCTCTATAACTTTCTAATAATCTACTCTCTAATAAAGATAAAACTAATAGAAAGAGAAAGTTAAGATAATATTAATATTAATATATTATATTAATAAGTAGATAATTACTATATAAATAAGTTAGTAGTAGAGATTTATAAGTTTATAGTAGTAAAGATATAGTTAAAATAGCTATAGTAAAAAAAGAGGTAGTAAGTAAAGTAGTAAGTTAATATTAACTTTAGTAGAGATAGGTTAATATTAAAATATATAGTAAAAATACTCTTTTTTTTAATACTAACACTATATAGTATATATATAAAAATTATATTAAAAAACACACCTCTTTTTACTTCTCTAATATCTAATTAATATATAATCTTTTAAGCTTATTATTACCTTCTATTTTATTCTAGAGAACTATTAGTAATATAATAAAGTTTTAAGGCTTTAATAATAGCTCTCTTATAACTACTATATATTATACTACTATTAACTTACTTTAAAAATTTACTTTAAGGTTAGTAAGAGCTATATTAATTATTAGTTTACCCTCTACTATCTCCTCTAACTTTATTTACCTTCTCTCCCTTATAAGTTAAATACTTTAGCCTATATAAACTTAGCTCTTAATATTTATAATTATCTTATTATATTTTTATAGTTTTAATATATTAAATAAGTATAGTAGTATTTATAATATTAAATATTAAAGTAAGGGCGTATAAAAAGGTATACTTAATATAAAGTAGCTACTCTATAGGGTTAAAGATATAAGTAAGCTAAGTATACTATTAATAATATTATCCTCCTTATTAGTAAAGTTATTAACTTCCTCCTCACTATTACTCTTACTACTCTCACTACTCTTATTAATATTATCCTCTATATTAGAGTTCCTTACTTATATAAGATTATCTATAGTATATATACTCTTACTAGTTCCTAAGCCTCTATTCTATATCTCTAAATAAAGCTAAGGCTAACCTAACTTTATAGTTTATATCTATAATAACTTAGGGTTATTAGCTAAGAAGGCCTTCTTTTTATTATTATTATAATATATTACGCTAGTTATTACGTTAAAAGTATTACTTAACTTTAGCGCTACTTATGCTTATAGAGAGAACCTCTTCTTTTTAGTATAGAACTTATTATATATATAATTTAGCGTTATAGTGTAGTTAAAGATCTTTATATTATTAAAGCTCTTTATAATCTCTACTTATACTAGCTTTAACGTTTATAGCTTATTAATATTTAGCTTTTTATCCTAATAAGTATATAGAAGTTCTTATATAAATATTAATATTT